CTTGAAAGTTTTCCTCTTACAAAGTAGAATGTAATACAGATTCATACTGTAACATCACATTGTGCTTTCTCCCTAAGCATTTTCTAAGGCATGGAGATATCTGAGCATTAAGGGGTAGCACAACATCAGTGCGGCAGAATGGATAGCTAGAGTACATACGTGCGTGTGTATACACCCCTCACCCTTAACATGTATTTAGGTTTAAAGATGATACAACTCTGATAGCACTGATCTGTCAGGATCAGTGCTATCAGAGTTGTATCATCTTTCTCCCGTGGGCTTCTTGTTCTTCCAAACACACCTTGTGTCAGTATCCTTAGCAGGGGTGGATGCCATCCCGAGGGTTTGTACCATCAAGTACACTGTCTTGTAGAGGACAAAGCAGCTAGGTGCTCCAAGAAAGAAGGTTTTCTTCTGCCACGATTGGAGTTGGGGACATGCTCACAGGTGATTGTGTCTGGAGAACAAGCATCTGAGAGAGCAAATATTTTGCCTTGTCACGGATAAAACATTAGAGGAAATTGGATAACCCCTTTATTGCTAAAGGTCAATTACTAGGGTACCCTGGAGGTTTCTGTTGTGACGTTTTGTGCTGTGTTCTAGAGCTCTTGTATCCACAGGTAGCTTGAAACAAAAATTATAGTTAGGGTCATTTGGATTTCCCTCAGAAACCAGAACAAGGATGTTCATTTTAGGTTCGAATAAGTCTGAGGACAATAGAAAATCATCTCCAATTTTGTCCCACAGGGGGTGGTGGGTACAGGGGGGTAAAGCATTAACTACCACATAGCAATGCCTTTCTAAGTAGGCTAGTTTATGCATTATAGTGATCTAAGCATGTCTGATCCAAGCACGTGCTTGATTGAGACACAGCTGCTTCAATACTTCATGTATTTTCCATCTTAAAGTTCTGTTGAGTTGCTGTTTGGTGCTCTGTTTGTACTTGTGAAGTTTTCTTTAGATCTGGTCTCTAGATCAGCTGTGCAATTTGCTGAAATAGTCTTTAGCATCCTTGCTATGTTTGCCATTTGCCAAAGTTCCAAGAGTGGGAATAAGCAGAATCCCATTGAGGTATGAAATGTAACCAGAGTTCTTTTAAGACGAACCCAGTCCGCCTTCCCCTCTTAGTCTTCTTTTAAACGTTGGACCGGAGTTTAGTGTTGGAAAGAATGGAGGTGACAGCCACTCCGTAATTGGAGCTGTGGTGGAAGGAGGAACAGAGATTGTGAGAGTGCTCTAGTTAGAAGGTTCCACTGTTCCAAACCGTACCAGTGATCCTTGTAGGGTGAAGAGGTAATCTTGCAAAACTCTGGTTACGCTTGAGTAACTCTTGATCTCTGTAAAAATGGTTCTATAGTTCAACCTCAGAGCTACTAATGTACATGCACAAAAATACCCGTCTTGCAGGATCAGGGCTTTGGTTTATATTTTTTGCTGATATGTAGGGTTTTTGGTGCTTTTCCTCTAATTATGACAAGATAGTAAATAAGACAGACTGCACATCTTTTTCTTTTTTTTCTTAAATTTCAGCTTTAACGGATAGACAAGAAAGTGCACTGATTGAAATAATGCTTTGTACAATTCGACAAGCAGCTGAATGCCATCCACCTGTGGGAAGAGGAACAGGGAAAAGGGTATGTGCTGCAGAGAGACTATTTAAATCTGTAATTTCGTATTTTAAATATTTTGTTGACAATATTTTGGTCTTCACATCTTTCTACTGCACTTCTCTTAACAGTTTCAATACTTGAATAAGCTAGATGAAAATGGTTTTGTCTAGTACATGTTTAGGGCATAAGAAACTGTTCTTGCTTACAGAAACTGAAGAAATGGCTTTTCTGAATTTTATGCATAACCAACACTTTGCTGCCTCGTTTTCACATTAAACTTTGTAACAATAATTAATACGTTTTCTTAAACTGAATATACTTACACTCCTGTTTGAGAAACCACACCTCTTGTTACCACAATCCTGAAAGTCATTTCTGTTTCATAGATTTCATAGACATTAGGGCTGGAAGGGACCTCGGAAGATCATTGAGTCCAGGCCCCCGCCCAAAGGGCAGGAAGTCAGCTGGGGTCATAGGATCCCAGCAAGATAAGCATCCAATTTACTCTTGAAGGTGTTCAATGTAGGTGCTTGAACCACCTCCGATGGCAGGCTGTTCCAGACCTTGGGGGCTCAGACAGTAAAGAAATTCTTTCTTATGACCAGCCTGAAATGGTCTTGCGGTAGTCTCTGACCATTCCACCTCGTCATTCCTTGGGGCGTTCTGGTGAACAAACGTTCCCCCAGATACTGGTGGTCTTTGGTTTGCTCCTTTGGGTTTTTTCAAATGAATGTATCCCCTAGTATCTGTTCAGGGGCTAATACTGCTTTCTACCTGAGGAGTGTTGTCAAAATGAGGGAGAAGGAGATGGTTCATGGTCTTTTTGGAGTACTTAAACCACAACTTCCTATAGTTGTCCTTGACTGTGACCATGTAGCTACGTGTCGTTCTCCCCCCCGCCCCACCCATCTCGAACACTAATTTCAGTGAATGGGCTATTGTTGGAAAGGTGTGTCTGCCTAGTCGTTCAAGTGTGCGTTTACAAATTCATTTGGATTAGAAGATTGAATTGTGCTTATAAAACAGGAAAAATGTATAAAAATTATAAACACTGACAGACTTTGTGCTGAATTTTTTTGCTACTGAGTGGTAAACTATCATAGACTACTCTGAAAATTGAAATAGCAACCTTAGTTGCATTACATGGATCGTGCATTTTCTAGTGGAAAACTTAATTGCCCAGATTTTAGGGTGTTTGCTGTAAAGAAACTCCCCGAAATAAAGTGATTAACTGCTTCAAAATTTGACTTAAGTGGATGTCATTTTAAATGTTAGGATTAAGACAGTCTTTGAAGACTCCAATGCTTTATCAAGTCCCTAAAAAATATGAAACAGTAATATCTAAGGTTTTTTTTTAGTTATAAAATTTTATATCAATAATTTAGGTGTTGACAGCAAAGGAAAAGAAAACGCAGTTAGATGACAGGACAAGAATTACAGAGCTCTTTGCAGTGGCACTTCCTCAGTTATTAGCAAAAGTAAGTTTAATTTTATTTGGACTTTGTGGTTGTATATTGTAAAAACGATAGCCAAATGGTGTATGTTTCCAAAAGTCTGTATGTCATTCAAACTGCTGTGTGTTAGAAACTTGTTTTTGTTATAGTTTTTAATAGTACCTGGATCTTATGCAGTTAATAATATAGTGGAAGTATAAAAAAAATCCCAGAAACGGTTTGATTGATTGATTAATTATTTTTGTTAATTTGACAGTATTCTGTGGATGCAGAAAAGGTCACCAACTTGTTACAGTTACCGCAGTATTTTGATTTGGAAATCTATACAACAGGGCGATTAGAAAAGGTAAAGTATCATAATAATAAAATTTAAGGATGGAGTAAAAGACCTGTAGTATCTACCAGTGTAGATGAGCCCTTATCTGGTTATTTTTCAAGACTCTTTGAAAACCTAGGTTTGGCTTTCTGAGTTTTGAGGGCTGTTTGCATTGTGACACAATGTAGTGCTTTGCAGAAAAGTCTGAGCCAGCTTGTTCAATTTGAACTGAGCTATGAACATCATGCTTTGGAGAAATATCTTTAGAGTAAATGTTCTTACAGTGCAAATACTTAATAGAACATCAGAATGGCATATAAGAGATATGTGTATAGTTCCGTAGTTGAAAGTTTTACTAGTGTTGTTTGGAGCGATTTCTCCTCCTCCTTCACAAATATGGGTTATACCTAAGGTATATGACTCAGCCTTGTGCAATACTGGTTCTTTTCAATAGTGGCAGCCATTGGAACCATATTCACACTTCACGTGCCTTTGCAGATACCTAACTGGTGGTGTAAGTGACAGGGCAGTTCTGCCTTACCACCCAATTCATTTTTTATGTTGAGGCTGCAGAAAGGGAAACAAATTGACCATTTTCTTAAAAATATGAGCACTCTTACTGTGTAGGGTTGTATAGCAGAAAGCTACTCTGCACGTTACTCACTTCACAAAAGACTCTTCAAGAATAGGGAAGCAAGACCAAACCTGTCTTGCCTGAGAAATAAATGCCGCTTTCTGCTGCTGATAGTCCAGATACGTAGGGAGCAGATCAGTTCAATTCTGCTGTGGCATGGCAAGTGGTTGCTCACTGTTCTGCTCTTGAGCATAACCTCTCAATTACCCCACATCTTGATAACTTAGGAGAGAAGAAGAAAAGAGCCAGGCACAGAATTCTTTCTTCTTCCCAACTAAGGGCCTCAATTTTTTCTCCAAGCTTCATTCTTCAGGAACTGTAACTCCAGCTCCAGTGCTGTGTATTCAGCAGTGTTGAGTTTTGCATATGTTAAACTTGTAGTCTTCACCAAGTTCCAACTTAATTTGCATACTGATGCAGATTGCTCCTACTCTAAAGTTGTGTAGAACAGTGCTTTATGTTTTATATGATACAATCATAGAAGTAATAAACCAGCATAAAAATCTTGCTGCTACAATTGGAACATTATTTTAATGAGCCTTTTATAAAGTTGTGATTTTACTTTTGTAGCATCTGGATGCCTTACTGCGACAGATCCGGGATATTGTAGAGAAGCACACAGATACAGATGTTTTGGAAGCGTGTTCTAAAACATACCACGCACTCTGTAATGAAGAGTTCACTATCTTTAACAGAGTTGATATTGCAAGAAGTCAGTTAATAGATGAATTGGCAGACAAGTTTAATAGACTTCTTGAAGACTTCCTGCAAGAGGTATGTAATATGTATGACCCTTATTTTCTAGTCTTTTAACACCTCCACTTTCTTGTTGCCTTACTGGTAGAAAGTTGGGCAGAGTGACACCTTAAAGAATAACTCATTCAAAAAGGAATGGGCTCTCACAGCCTACTTCCACAAATGCTGTGTTGCTGCCATAAAAAGCTCATGCCTCTCTGAACCAGTTAGTCTCTGAGGTGCCACTCTGTCCTGACTTCAGATTAACAAGATTAACCATTTCTGTCCTTGCTGCCTTATTGCATGAACTGTCAAGTAAGGGTAATTATATTCCCTCCAACTGGGAAACAGAAACTTGAAAAGTAATTACATCATCACCATATAACTTGAAGAGATGAATATTTAGTGACTACAACTTGAAGCAAACCAAGCCAGTTTGTATGATATTAAGTTACAGGTATTTCTGCCTACTCTTCTACTATAATTAAAGTATTGGTGGGGTTACAGGCTGCTTAAAGGGGTTTTTTTGTTTGATTTTTTTTTTTTTTTCTAAATGCAAGTTATTTTATCACTTCATTTTATATAAAGTGTAATTTTTAAATGACCACGTTCCAAAATTTACAGTCTTTGCAAGCAGCTCTAGTAACAGACATCCATGCATTATATGATTGTTGTACGTGGTCTTTTTTATTTGTTTTTTAATAAATTGCTTATAATACATTAAGCCTAAAATCACTTTTTTCCGCTCATTTCTATGTTTACATAATGATCCTATTCCACTGTTGTTCAAATAATAGTGGGAGGTAAACACAAGAGGCATCAGTGTATTAGTTACGGTATTGAAAACTATGGTGGAGCACTGGAAGGATGTATAAAATACTGGAATTGTTTCCCAAGAGAAGTGGTGGGAGTTCCATTTCTTTTGGTGTTTTAAAAGAGAAAAGAACAGAATAGAGTTATTTTTCAGAAGTGTTTCAATCACCACCACAGAAATGCAGCCATATAACATGATGACAAAATCCCATCCTTGAAAATATAAGCTAGGCTCTTAAGTCAGTCTTTTTCAGTTTTTATTTCTGGCGTGTGCTAACGATGAGAAGAACTTCAGTGGCCAATGGCTCTTACTTCGGAGTCCTCACCACTGTTCTACTGTCTGGTTAGCTCATGAAGCTATGCTGTAGGATCCTTCCTGCACCCCTGTTTACCCTCTTAGGATGTATTCCCATGGGTGGGAACATCTGTGCCATGTGTGCTCAGCAACTGTGCTGGCCCCAGCAGTCTTCCCTGAGCTCCTAGAGCTGCAGCTGCGGTGATTCTACAGCAGGGAGCCTGATTGGCAGCTCCAGTTCTGGATGGCACGTGCTGCTGCCACATGTCCTACCCTGGTATCTTTAGGTATCGTTTTTTTTTTTAATCTGGGATGTCTGTGTCAGGAACACGCGCCCCCCCCACCCCTCAAATTGGCAGTGCAAGGAACGCCTGCACATGCGGTGCATGCAGTATTACAGACATCTCTGCAGCACTGCATACCACACGTTCACCCTCATCTGGACACGCCCTTAGAGTCCCAAATGTTTGTGCCTATGTCATGGAAGCAGGCAGGAAACATGCATACAACTCCAATTAACTTGCATTCTAAGGAAAGCTAGAGGGCAAAGTACTACTATTTACTACTTAATTGTTCTTGTTGTTTTATAATTCTCTGAAGTGAGACCATTTTTCCTCCTTGATTCTGCTGCTTTAAAGCAAAGGCTACATATAGATGTCCAGTTTCTACCAGGAGAATCGCTGTTCTGGTGGAAACCAGATGTGTGCAGACATTCAGGCTTTTTTTTTATTCCCCCAGAGCTAAAGTGGCCACTCCAGGAGAAATACAACCCTGGAATAACCAAGGTTAAGTCATTACAAGGAGAATTTCTCCTGAGAGGCTGAGTGTCTACTCTTTCTCCCAGGTTCACTCCCCTTGGGTGTTAGGGAAAAAGGCTCCTGTGCCGCCTTGAGACTGGGGTGATCCCAGTCTTGAGATGGCATGGGAACCAGCTGCTTCTGCCTCTCTTGTAGACTTGGGAGGGGAGGAACAGCTACCAGCTCTCCCCTTGCTTCTCACACAAGTTCCTAGCGTGAAAAACTTTGCCACATTGTTTCCTCCACTTGGCTGCTGGGCACTGGGAACTGAGCGGCAGGGAGCCTGATTCTCAAGCCAGAGTACTCAGTGCGAGGAGGCTGCAGGGGCTTTGCCAGTTGCTGAGTGCAAGAAGCATCTCTTTCCCTTTCTGACTTCCTGTTCCCCACTCCCTGCTGCTCAGTCTGGGTGGGGAGAGCTTCTCTAAGCATGGCTAGCCTTTTAAATCTCTGCCTCCACCACACAGCTCTGTGGCAGGAGAGGGAAGGGGAAGCCAACGAACAGGGAAATGGGCTCAGGGAGGCTCTTCCTGGGGTAGTGAGTCAGAGCCCCTGCCCATCCTCATACTGGAGTCCAAGGTAGGTGGAGTGGGCAGGGGGTTTGCCCCATTGCTCTGTCTACTCAGCTCCCCACACTGGAAGTTGAGCAGAAGGAGCTGTGCTGCAAGACCCCTGCCTGCTTCTCTCACCTGGGTCTCAGGAGTAAGAGACAGGCGAGGGTTTGCACCACTGCTTCCTGAGACTGGGAGTACAGTGGAGAAAGCCTTTGCACCACTGCTTCTCTTTGCTTCCCTGGTCTGGGTGGTGAGGAAAGCAGCACGGCACAGGCCCCTGTCTTGGGGAAAGGGCAATGGGCTGCGCCTCATTTCCCTTCCTTTCAGTCCAGTCGGGAGAGGAGAGCAGCCACCTCTGTTCCCTGCCTCTTCCTTAAGCCAGATACTGCTCTGCTTGGGGGAGGGACTGGGAGCTTTCCCCCAGTACTCTGCTCCTGAAGACTGCTCCTCCCCACCCTGTTGGGATGGCATGAAGAGCATGAGAGAGTGGGTGGCTGCATACTACATATCTGTTCTGCTCGCTCTTCCTAGAAGGATTTTTATCAGGGAAATTTTCTGAGAAATTTTACCCAGTAGAAACAAGTGTCTGTACCCTGCCTGTTTTGGTAACTGAAGCTGCCTAGTGCCTGACCATTTGTAATTAACCGTTTGTGTGAATTGCCATGCGAGGGATATACAGGTTTTAGGTTGGCCCATGGAACTTTTCAGGGGTGAATCAGGGTGTGTTGCTAAAAGGTTTAATCGACAAGTTTTCTGTGCGTTTTTTGCCTAGGTTGAAATACTTGCTGTATCAATATTGACCAATGAGCTATCTGCTCCAGTATCTATTATCTGACAGTGGCCTCTGCTGGACTCTGCAGAGAAAATTGAAACTCCGCTAGAGCATACTTCTGTCCAGTTAGGCTAACACTTCATGTGGCAAACTGAAATAACTTTATCTGGTTACTAGTTTCCCTGAAATAAGAAAATTGATAACTCTTAGACCATATCGTAGGTGTTCTGTATCATGTAACTGAACTTCTAGCATATGTATGTATGTATGTCTTTGAAATCATTCAGAAATGTTGGTTTCTTCATATTGACGTTGCTAGCTTTGCTGAAAACTTCCTTGTATATAAATTACAGGGGGAAGAACCTGATGAAGATGATGCTTATCAGGTCCTGTCAACATTAAAAAGAATCACTGCTTTTCACAAGTAAGTGAAATGTATGCTGAAAATCTTACTTTTTGCGCTCGTATGCTGGTGTATTAAATTGATCACGTTATAATTTTGTGTGGAACTTCTGTGTAGATAACATGCAGATATGTATGATGCTGGCAGACCTCGAATAGAAGATGAATCGATTGTATTTACAGCTATATTTTTACAAAAGTGTACTTATAACTTACTGGCAAGTTAAACTGATTTTTTTTCTGTGTTTTTCATGAGGACACTTGAAAGCAATAAACATCAGATTCCAGAATTAGTGTAAAAATAGCTATTCATTTTGTTACATTTTGTGTGTTTTTTTTCTCCTGTTGCCAGTGCTCATGACTTGTCAAGATGGGACTTGTTTGGTTGCAACTACAAGTTATTGAAAACTGGGATTGAAAACGGAGACATGCCTGAACAGGTTTGTAATTAAAATGTGAATTTAAGTTCATCAGTGACTATGGCTTGTCACTGTCCTTACTGGTGTATTTGTCTAACTCTCTTCTGTCTTTAATTACAGATTGTTATTCATGCACTGCAGTGTACTCACTATGTAATCCTTTGGCAGCTAGCAAAAATTAGTGAAAGCAGCTCCACAAAGGTATGTCTTGCTACCATTGGGTTAGCAATTTAGATACTTGCACTTAACCACGGGGCCATTCCTCAGTTATCTGATAGAAAATTAGTTTTCATGGAATTCTGCAAGATAAATTTCCTGTTAGAAACTACAGCATGCTAGGAATTTTTTAACCCCCCTGGTTGCTGCATGAAGAGGAGAGGTGCTGGGTATGCTGCCCCAAATCATGATTGAGAGCACTGACCCTTCTTTAAAGCCTTCTGGAATTCTTGCACAGGGCAGCAGTTGGGGGGGGGGTATAAACTTTTGGGTTGGTTAGTGCTGTCATGTTGGAATTGCGTTGTATTGGGTTTTCTTTTATTGTGTTGCCACAAATACATTAAACCTTTATCCAAAAATGTATGCTCTGTTGAATTAATGGAGAGGAACCAAAAGAATTCTTTTAAAGTTAACAGAAGTTGAATAATCCTCTGACTCCTTGCTGAAAGTTGTCAAATGAGACATTATATTGTCTGTTTCCTTTTTCTAATGATACTTCAGACTATCAGATATATTAGACAAAATTCTGAAAAACTTTCTTGGCAAAATAGAAAGCACAATTTCTATTTCATTTTTTTTGTATTTATTTTTATTGAGCATTTTATGTAAATATAGATTTCTGGGAAAGCATATAATATTCTTCATTAAAAATGTAAAACTTCATCTGTTTAATTACTCTATAAAATGCTTTATTTTAAAGGAGGACCTTTTACGTTTAAAGAAGCAGATGAGGGTGTTCTGCCAAATCTGTCAGCACTATCTGACCAATGTAAACAGTGCTGTCAAAGAGCAGGTTAGTGACTGTCCTCAGCTGTACTTTTTCATAATACTTTTAAAGCTGTTTAAAAAAAAAAAGTGATTCTGGTGTTGCCAGCATAGGTATATGATGCACACAGAATGAATGCTTGATCTTGGTGGCTCTACTGCCTGGAAAGTCATGGATTTGGGGAATTGTTCTGTCTGCAAATTCTTCACCTTCCAAACCCGTGAAGATAGGGATGTGTTTGCCTCTCGGGCAAATTGTTGTAATCAGCCTCACGGCCAGGACATCTTGCACGCACCTCAAGAAAACCCAAAAGCACTAATAACAAATTTGGATCTTTTATCTTGGGTGAAAAATATATCCTATGTTCAGACCTGAGATTCTTCTACTTCATGGAGTGTGGATCATCTCAGCGTCTTGATCTGAGAGGATGGGGCGTGGGGTGCAGAGGGGCTGGGACTGTTTTTTACAGAGATTTTCCAAGTGAATTTCTGTTGATGAAGACAAGAAATGACATGTTCAAGAATTCATCCTAAGACCATTAAAAATACACTGTTAAAACCCAAGCAGACTTGCATGATTTTGTCCCATGCAAGTAGAAGGCCAGCATACATCTCGTATTCAGGGCACAAAGTGTGTGTCTGGGTCCTGAGTGAGTGAAACTGAGAATTATTTAAAGGTTGAATGAACTGTTGGTTTAGGTGGAACTCTGACCACCTTGGCTAAAAGGATACCTTGCAGTGGTTAGCATGGATACCCTTTTCTGTGTTCTCTGTAAAACAGTCCCCTCAAGCCTTAGTCACACATTCACAAATGATTGTATACATAATCCAGTCCATAAACTTCAGAAACTGTATGGACAAAGGCATGTCACTCTCCTAAGACTGAGGTTTCACTTCAAGAGACTGTTATTTTGGAGTTCACCGTGGTGGAGTAGCACATGGGCAATCACGTGAATGTTACTTAACTTTAGAATAACTGGTTCTGTCAGATGTACTGTGCATATGCGCATTCTGCATCCCTCTCTCCCATCCTGTCTTTCTCAGATCTCTGCACTCTTAGGTTCATAGTTGAGAAGATGCTCTTGTGTAATAAGTCTGCTCCACCCTTAAATGTCCTTGGTGGGGGGTATATGCAGTGCATGCACTGCAGTAAAAAACAAAACAAAACAGCTCAAGCATATGAAGTATGTGCACACCCAGACGGGAAGCACTTTGGTTACTTCAGAATTAACTTTTTATTTAATAGGTCAAATGCAATTAAAAGTAATTAGATTTTGGGGTTGTGAATGTTTTGGATCTGGTCTGACGAGTATGTGTGCTTAAAACAACTCTCCAGAAGATGAATTTGGCTGTTTGTTAACTTGATGCTTTGTTTGGTTGATTGGATTGATCGTGGCTTTAGAGCAGATTATTTGCTTTTAAAGCATTTGCTTTTAAATTTGTGTCAAATCCTAGTGGTATGTTCACAAAGTAATTTTTTAAGGTTTTCTCCACTAATAATTCATGATTTTTATCCTCCTTGGAGGAATCCAAGAAAGGAGATTCCATTGATACTCTTGTCCTAGAAGATCTGCATCTCCCCCCATCTTTAAGAGGCAACCCTGCAGTCTTCCTACTTTGGGTGTTGGTGCCTCAATCTTCCCTCGCCGCTGACACAGACAAGACACAGGTGGTGGGGTGAGCGGAGGCATCCTGGGACTGGCTGAGTGGGGAGACTGGGATTAGAAAGGCCATGACCTGGAAGGATGCTATTTTCTTCTCCATTTGTACAGAAGTGTAACAAATGAACCACATGCAAAAGAACAGGTTCTATTTTTCCCCCAGCGGCTGTGTAAAAGGTCCAGGCAAATGGAGAAATTAATAAGGGTACATAGTAAGTATTCAGGGACTTACTTCCTCTAAAGAAAGTTGCGTATATTTGCCGATAGCAACGAGGACCTTTTTTTTACATTTTCCTACTTTGTTGTTTCCTTTACAAGGTGTTAATCATATCTTTCAGCTAGAACTTCTACTAAGTTAAATTCTAAACTTTCACGCAAAATCTTACAAGTATATTTTGACAGATGTCTCTGGCAGCGTCCTTATCCGAGTCTTATCCGAATGCAGCAAGCGTATATGAAGAAACCTTTTTGTTTACATGATTAGTACCATTGAATGTCAGTTAACCTGTTCCATGGTGTGCAGGGTTAAGCTTTGAACTTCAAATAATTTCTGCTATGGAAACTTTAGCATCTGCTTGTCTTTTAAATACATTGGAAAATTGAATTTAGTTTGTGAAGAAATTTAGAATGCGTCTGTCTCTTTTTTTTTTTTTTTTTTTTTTTTTTTTAACAGGCTTTCACAATTCTCTGTGATGTGTTGATGATTTTCAGCCATCAGATTATGACAGGAGGAAGAGACATGCTAGAGCCACTTGTTTACACTCCTGATTCTTCGTTGCAGTCTGAACTGCTAAGCTTTATTTTAGATCATGTCTTCATTGACCAGGATGATGACAACAATAGTGCAGGTGTGTGCATCTGTGTGGTCTCACTTTCTGTTCATATCCATATTGTTCTGGCTTGTGTGCTCATGTACATTTACTGCCCTCTGCCCTGACGAGTTGCATTTCTGTGGCAGGTCTACACTGCCTCTGACTCTTGGGAATGATGCTGTAAAAACAACCTCACCCACTTATTCCAACACTGCATGAGTCAAATGCCAAAAAAACAAATGTGTAGTCACCATTAGAGCATGGGCTAGGTGCATGCCAGTGGCTGTACCTGAACTTGAGTGTCAGTGGTACATACCAAACATATCTATTGCATTTTTCCCAGACTTTGGCAAGCTTAGAGGAAAGGCAAGTGGATGGGGCACATTTTCTCTATGGGGCCTCCTAACACAGTTGGAGGCAATGTAGAAATTCAGATTGGTGGGTACAGGGCAGGGGACGGGATGAAAGGAGCATACTTACACTTGTCTTGTGGATATTAGCTTCACGCTTGTGTTGCGTCCATGTTTCTAATTGCCTTTATGCATGTCTTTAAATGAAAGAACACTTCTGTTAGCTCATTAGGTCGTTGGTATTCAAATACGAAAACCCATAGATGGAAGGAAGTTATTCAGTGTGATATAAGAGTCTTGGTCTTTAACGTTGGAAGAGAAAAATTACACATAATATCGAGGAAAACATTTCAGTCAGACTTGTTAGACTGTGAAAGAGAAGAAGCATATATTTCATCCTTTCAGATGCTTAAAATTAGACTAGCGGGAGGGGTAGAAAATCAGTGTGAAGAGCAACGTGCATGTTGTCCCCTACCCCGCAGACTGAAATCTTTAAGTCACTCTAAGTGTAATTCCCATTCCAGGAATGAGTCTATATATAAATCTTGTAAAATTGTTCTTCTTAAAAAGCTGAGAAACCTGTTTGACAGTTCTTTTCTTTTGGTCTCTGAAGGATTTACTGGTTATCCTAGAACCTAAGGGTACATGTAGATGAACTGGGGCTGCTAAATTGAAGCAGTAGGTTTTTAAAAATACCACTTCAGGTTAGGCCCTTTAAGCCACCATGTTGTGCGCACACCTGAACTTACCTGCCTCTCTGGCGGTCGGGATAGGCAGGCGAGCTGCTGGTGGACAGTGGTCCCTGGGCTGGGGTGGAGTGGTGCTCCCTCTCTCTGTGGTGGCCCTGCCTGCAGGCACCCAGCTCGGGCAGTCCTGGGGAGGACTGCAGCTGCGGAGGGAAGCACCGGGCCCCTGTGCGGCTCAGGCAGGCTTCGGGGGGGGGGGAAAAAAATATCTTGGGTGGAGCCTGTCTTCCTGTGCTGCTGCCAGGCTGCCTGCAGGGCTTCCGAGCTGCACAGAGCCCAGTGTTTCGCTCCGTGGCTGTAGGGCTGCGTCCCAAGTCATTTAAGGCACATTATGCTGCTGAATTTGCTGCAGCGGCACAATATGCCGCAGACGCATGCAAACACCAACACGGTTAAAGCAGTGCAAAAGCATTTAACCTGCTTTAAAATGTCATACGCACATGCCCCTCATTTCGTCTGCGCATGGCCTAAGACTAAAGCTCAGTGCTCTTTCTTTGGCAGTGGCAAGTAGGTGTTTTTGAGGGCTTGTCTAGGTGATTTATTCCTCCTCATACCTTCTGTGGCACCAGCTATTGTTGGTTTAAGTTAAGGCAGGTGCTGCATTTAGCGCAAGTCTGGGAGCAGGTGCCATGTGAGTCAGCTTGGACCCAGGTGCTGCTCTGGGTGATGGAGCTCCACGGCCTGGATCTGGCACATAGGCTGGATCTTTAACAACACTCATATAATCCCTTTTTAAACGAGGTGTATACTTTCTGCTTCTACAACCTCCTGTGGTAACAATTTTTACAAGTTAACTACACTACGTAAAATTTAGGACAACTTAATGGGTTAATTAATCAGCCTTGGCCAAATTAATATGTGCGCTTCAGTTATCCCGTGTCTTAAAGCATATTGAAACTTTTACAGTTACCTTTATAGTTTGCTCATTACCTGCTATCTTTGGTTCTCTTGGATACACTTGTAGTAATACTAATAAATATTTTACAGAGAAAATGATTAGGTTAATAAGGGTTCAGAATGGAGACTAGATAGCCACAGGTGGGTATGATAATGCCTTTTCTGTTTGGTCTCAAGTAACCGCAATTAAAGGAGTTTTCACAGAATTCCACGAAGCTTAAAGAAGGCTACTCAGAGGGCTCTAAAGCATTGTTTTTTAAGTGCAACATAGTCTAATTTTCTTTTCTATTCTTGAAAAGAAAGAAAAGAAGAAAAAGAAAAGCAAGTGCTAAATAACTGGGAAATAACGATACAGTTGGAATTCTAGTGGAAATATATCTAGGTCACCACAGTTTAATGCTTGCTAAAAGAGGCTTCAGCAATTTTACAGTTTGGTAATGAAAGAGCAGTTCTTCAAGATGCTTACATTAAACAGTTAAATTCTGCCACAAGAGAAGTCTGAATTAGTTATTTTAATTCTAGCCATGTTCTAATCTTATGTCTTCACAGAAATCTTAACCACAATGGCAAACGTAGCAGAGGTTTATGCAATTGCTACTTCAGCCCAAACAAACTGTATACCCCGCTTTATTCTGCTAACAGAGCTGAGAATAGAGCTCTTCAATCCCGACTCATTTTACTTGTCCTGACTACTAGAACACACTGTGCTCCTTCATGTTAATATTAACTTAAAGAGGGTAAAGGCTAGGAACCGTTAAACCACTAAGTTAATATTCCTGCGTTCAAAACACACACACAGACAAACAACTCCCTCCTCCCCCCAAATAATAACCTGGTATTTCAGTGTTTTCAATTCTTTCCAGATGGACAGCAAGATGATGAAGCTAGCAAGATTGAAGCATTGCACAAAAGAAGAAACTTACTTGCAGCTTTTTGTAAACTTATTGTATATACTGTGGTGGAAATGAATACTGCTGCAGATATTTTTAAGCAATATATGAAGGTAAGTCTGAAGACTGCACTTTATAAAATGGTGAACATTTATGAAAAAACAAAACAAAACTTCAGTCTAAGAAATTTTAGTTGTGAATGAGACCTTTCCAGATACTGGCTCCTTTATACGAAAGTGATTTTAAAGCCAAAATAATTACTACTTGCCAGAATATTTTTCATGTGGGGAAAAATTCATTTTGACAGATTATGCTTTCCTTTCAGCATATAAAAAATTCAGTAAAATTGAGTTTTAACCATATTTAGTATATTTATTTTCCCTTCCTGTTGTATAATATATTTTTCTCCTTATTTCAGTATGGAAAGTTAGCTGGCTTTTTCAGCTTGTTTAGGTGTATAGAAACCAATTAGATTATGACTCAGATTCAAACACCGAGAAATATGATGGTTTTTCACATGAATTCCATTCTAGGATGCTTTTTTTTCCTTGATGTTTTATATAAGGGGAAACTCATTGCATTGGGGGGAGAGAGAGACTTTTCCTACCAGATAGAAATATTTCTGATTAAACTTATCACGCCTTAATTCAGCAGGAAATATCTTTCTTGTAGGTATCCAGTCTCACGTTAATCTAGAATTTTATTGTTGGGGCATAATGAAATCTTTGCTCCAGGTTTGTAAACAGATGTTAGATATTCCATGCTGCTCTATTTGAGTATCATGCTGCTTGCAGATGTTAAAAGAAAAAAACAACTGGCACTTCACCTGAAACTTGTTGCGTTCCCATGCTGAGCCCAGCGCATGCCCAGAAGAGGCAGTGCATTAGGTGGATCCAGCTCACCTGACATGTGTATAGATCAGGCGCTTAAGTGGGGCTTTTTCGGAGCTTTTATCTAGTAGCTGATTGAATCAGTTTTAGATAAGCACCAAAAAGCCCCGTTGAAGCGCCCAGTTTGTACAGATGCTGTGGAGGTGGGTCGAACTAACATGCTGCTACTTCTATTAAAGCATGTGAAGTTTTTTTGTTTTTATTTTGTTTTATGTCTGCAAGTAGCCCATAATGCAGTCAAGTTAAAAGGATAAGGCTGTGGAGGCTAGGTTGGTCTCATGTGGAAGTGCAGGATGGATACCCCTTTTGTCTTAACAGCTAATGGGATCTCTTCCCAAAAGTCAGTACAGCTATTAAGTGTGTATTTTACAGATGTGATTCAGGGTCAGCCTTGAAACTAAGTAGCCATTCTGCCTCTGTATAAAAATGACTGACATTAACCAAAGTATGAAGGAAGTGGAAAGCTTCTGAAATTTTTCCGTACTTTTTGGGAAGTTTTTAGTTTATAATTTTGATAACAAATGGTGAAAAAATGCTTAGTACTTAGAAAGTACGTGAGAGTACTTAATTCATTGTTCTCTTCTAAAGTGCTGTGCAGTTAAATACGTTTTACTGTTGTCTAAAGTTCAACTTTTTCATGGCTTTCTTCTAGTATTACAACGACTATGGAGATATTATCAAAGAAACAATGAGTAAAACAAGGCAGATAGACAAAATCCAGTGCGCAAAGACACTTATTCTTAGTTTGCAGCAGGTAAGTTGTGTACTGTAATTATTTTATATAAAACAGCTCTGCTATGCATTTTGTACATAGGCAGTGTTAAGAACTAATGAAATAGTGTGTAGAGGGTTATGTCAAAGGGAGGTATTAAGCTTAGAAGTAACTGCAGTAATTTTCTTCGGTCACTAAAAGTGCTGATGTATGCATATTCTTATTTTGATAATTTTTATTACTGTAAGCTACTCTGAACCATACTGGATTACTTGGGATGTAAATCTGAATAACAATAATAATGTTTTCAATATGTTAACAGTAATGTTAGCAATAATGCATATGTTAAAGGAAGGTGAGGAAAAGAATAAAACTAATAGGTTTTATAGACATTAGGGCTGGAAGGGACCTCAGAAGATGGTTGAATCCAGCCCCCTGCCTGAAGGGCAGGAAGTCAGCTGGGGTCATAGGACCCCAGCAAGATAAGCATCTTGAAGGTGTTCAGTGTAGGTGCTTGAACCACCTCTGATGACAGGCTGTTCCAGACCTTGGGGGTTCGGACAGTAAAAAAAAAAAAAAAAAAAAATTCTTCCTTATGTCCAGTCTCAAACGGTCTTGCAGTAGTTTATGACCGTTTGACCTCGTCATCCCGTGGGGTGCTCTGGTGAACAAACGTTCCCCCAGAAACTGGTGGTCACCCCTGATAAACTTATGGCTCTCAGCCTGTTGTCATAAGGTC